ATAAAATATTTTATCCGACACGTCTTATGTGATCACTGAATAATTTCCATATAACTTATTCAGATGAGGTGTGAATGTTTGCAGATTTGTATTAGAAAGTAAACAAGTTACACAGAAATCACTCAGTGCTTATGTCAGACATGTCAGATAATAAAGTAGTCTGATAACTATTATGTATTTCACTATGAAAATTTTAATAGGGTAGATTGATATGGAGTACTATGATTCACGTTATACAGTAGTTTTTGGTTTAAAATATTTTTTAATGTTTCCCCAGTGCACTGACCAAAAGAACCGGGGCCCAATATAAAATATCTAACAAAAAATTTACAAAATACCCAGGTATATTATACAGCAGTGGGTCTGTGTCACAAGAAAGAGAAATTTCGGTTATGTACATACTCCGCATTTATGATGAACAGTCTAGAGATTTAAAAAATTCATGTTTAATTAAAAGATCCTGTGTTTGCAGCACAGTATTTTACACGGGGTATTGAAAAAAAGGGATACTTTAGTTAGTGTAACTACTTAAATTTACCAAAAGTCCTATGTCCTGTAAATAACATCAAGTAAGAAATATTTTATTTAAAACAAACAAACAAATGAAATAAATAAAAATCATTAATCAATGCCATATAAATGTCGTATTCTGTATAAGTGTTGGTATGCTGGTATGCTGTCATCACCTTAATTTAGTAGGTGAGAATAAAATTGATTTATTAATTAGTGGATTAAAAAGTTTACAAACACTAATACCCTTCAGACTACCGTTCTATTTGATCAGTGAGTATTATAATAAATTTTTAATGATATAAAAAATATATATTATTTGACGATGATTAAAATGGTAACCTAAATACAGCAAAACTATACAGACAACACTTAAAACAGGGACCGTCAAAAATTTTTTAATAAAGGTGAATTTTTTTGCCAATTTTTAAAATTGACCAATCAGCATGCAAAAACAATATCATGTCACACTTGATTTCATATTTTGATTGGCTGTAATGCATCACGCTATCACTATGCGACCAAAAAAATTTTCACGAAAAATATTTCTTGTAACTTGGTATCTTTTGCTTTTTAGCAAACACCTTATATTACATAAATAAAAAATATATAAATCTCCAGAATCAAATTAACCTTTTTTTTACAAATTATATGAAAAAAAGATGTCGCAAAGTTATACTTCAATCCCTGGCACAAGAATTTTGACACAATTTAAATTTTAATGCGATAAAAGAATTAAATATGAACAAAATAATCGAAATTTGTCAAAAATTTTGCAAAAATAATCAAAATTTATCGAAATATTTGCAAAAAATAATCGAAATATCTTAAAATTATCGAAATAATATTTGACTGTCCCTGGTTTAAAACATGGTGTTTGGCATGTGATTCCGACAAACAAAAATGAAAATATTAATAATGATTACATCATAGAATTTTAGCTTAGAACCATGATAATGTAATTGAACGGATTCATTCAATAAAATTGCCGTATAAGCGCGAAATAACGCTCGTGGGCATTATTTTGAAAAATTGGATCCCAAAAAATAATTTATATGTTCTTAACATTAGTGCTCATGCTTTGTTGCAATAAATGATATACAGTCGACACTCCATATGTGCACTCTCTATAAGTATAATTATTTAATATGTAGATTATGCACTTTACCCAAAAATGTGCAGTTATGGAAGGTTGACTATATTGGATTTAGAAATCTCTTATTTCGAAATAATGCACAGGTCAATTAATTAGTGCAAGTGGGCGTTATCTCACGCTTATACAGTATCTAATGTTAAGGAATTGGCAAAAGAAGATTTGGTTATATATATTCAGCAACTTGGCTAGATGGTATACGAAAATTGATTATAATTGTGTAAAGCACGTGAACCATCTCGTACAAAACTATTGATTTTTTGTGTTTACTTGAAATTTGATTGGCCAGCGAAATTTTTCAGAGTAGTAATAACCTCGGGGTAATACTGTAGTATGACTGCCGTAATGCCGTAAGTAGTCACTATTCTGAGAAATTTCTGCATCATTAGTTAGCGTTAGATCAACTTCAATAGATTCATGCCCGATTTTCTTTTTGATCTTAATAATCATTTATAACAAAATGTTTAAATAAAACAATATACATATTTTTACTTTGAAATAATTCTCATTGCAACTGCATACTATATGTTATTTTTTAACCCGGTCAATTAATTCTTGTTTATATCGAACTTTTTTTTTATTAGCGTCTGCTTGTGTAATGTATTTATTATGAATAGAGTAAGTAGTTGACTATATCCGTATCTGACGCAGATACCCTATTATACAATATCAGACATTTAAAATTTTAAAGATTATAACGGTAATATAATAAATAACATATTTATTTAATATATTGACCCTACAGTATTATTTAGGATAAATATTTTGATATTGATAGATATTTATTTTTAAAAATATTCTTTAGAAAGCTCAGAAGAAATTTGTGTTCTTTTTGAGATCATTAAGTTATCAACATCACTGAACAAATGTTTACTTAGGGTGGATGTCGCTGGGTTGACCAGATAAATTTTGCTAATTTAGATAGTACCAGAATTTCTTCGAATGTAAGTTCCACCATGCCAGAGGTCTTTTTAAAACTTATTTAAGGGTGTCTTTATATATTCATAAATTTCGTTCGCTGCCGGATAATCTCTTTCTAATGATTTTAGCAAATACGATGTTTAGCCACTGATTAAAAACAGATATTTACTTTTCAGATATAAATATTATTTAATGTCCGTATAGAATCTGATAATTTTCCGGTCAGTAAGGATTTTAAAGCTACTGATCGCTACTTCAATACTTAATTTTAAATGTGTTGATATAATAATGCCGTACATCGGAACGAAATTATTGTAGATTTAGAATCCACTTAGGTTGGAACAGAATTCCAAATATAGTCCAAGTTGATACGAAATTTAAAAGCAACTTAAGTCGATTCTATATTTGATATAGTACTATATAATCGATAAATAGCAACTTAAGTTGATTTTAAATTTGATACTATAATAAATCATGATGATATATTGTCAAGATAAAATACAAATCTTTTATTTTTATTTTTTTTTATTTCACTTTTTCATTTTTTGAAACTCTCTACCTGATGAACGAAAATCAAGATAATCCATTATTACCCCGTAATGTATACAAAGGATTGTTTTCCAGATATTTTAGTAATGTCAGTAAATAGGCAACATATTGTAAAACCTTACGTGAAGATTTTTGTTTTAAATTAAGGTTTTACAAGATTCAGCAAATACAACAATCGGGAATACGAAAGACCGTAAAAAAATACATTTGCAATAAGTGATCTTAAACACAACTTGTTAAATTTGACTCAAACCTATTTGTGTTCATTGGGTCTCGACAAATTTTCAGAGTTCTTTCAATGCTCATAAGTAACTTACATTGTAACTTACATTGTAAATTACGACTCTTATGTAAGTACAAATATATAGATTTAATGCTGGCCAGAATTATAATAAACTTGGCTAGGACTAAGACTAAATTTTTTGATTATGGTTTTTTCCTAGAACACAAATTTCCTAAATTTCAGATTATGTGATTTAATAATTGCGATATACAACTTACTCTCGTTATAGTGAAGTCCCTGGGCTGAGAAAAAAAAATTTCACTATACAGTAAAACCTCCATAAGTGCACCCTCTATAAGTGCACACCCTCTCTAAATGCACTCTCAAATTCTTGCCCAAATATATATCAAACCTCTATAAATGCACTTTTTCTTATTGTTCTTTAAGTGCATGTTAAAATTTGGTCCCAAGAGTATGCACTTCTAGAGGTTTTACTGTAGCTTATATTGAAAGAATACTCTATGTACTTCCTGAATTCAAAAATCCTTCACTATATCGAATCTTCACTATAATGAGAGTTCACTAAATCAGAGTGAGTTGTATCAATTATATCAGTTATATGATGCTTATTAATAAAATTTTCATAGTAAATGCAAATATGTGAATAATGGAAATCACATGATCTAAATTTTTAACCCCGGTTAAATAATGAGCAAGGCCAAGCTTTTTTTCGAATAATATCCGAATTATTCCGGATAGAATGATAAATTAAAATTTTGAACTTACGTAACTTAAGTTACATGCAAGTTACATGACTTGAAATTAAACTTACGTCAGTTAAAATAACACGTAAATTGCCCAACCCTACTCATAAGCATGCGAAAAGCATCTATTATGCAATCCTCTTCACAAGTAGGTAATATTAAATATAATTTTAATGCACGAAACAAAAATCGCTATAAGTAAAAATGTAAGAATAGTTGCTATCCCCCAATCATAGATGCAAAACTTCGTGCCATGCTTTTAAATTTGTTATGAATAAATCCTATCTTAAAGCGACTTAAAATTCCAAAACATACTCGATGAAATAATTTGGAATACACAATTTTGTTGTTGAATTGGAGTTTTTTAACGACTCGGACACGTTTCAGAATACTATTTCAATATATGTTTATTCGGAGGTGGATTCTAAATCTACAATAGTTCCATTCCGATGTACAGCCGAATCAAACACTTATCGAATCGGCCAAATAATTATTCGGTCAATTTTTTTAGTAATACCGTATTTACCATTTTTAAATACCGAAAATCAAACACATAATAAACTCATAAATACAGAAATAAGGGCTTTATAATAATTTATTCGCTTTTGGATATTTGTATTAATTTAAAATTATTTTCAATAAAATAATAAAATTTAAGGCATAAAAAAGGCATTAATTCTTCATGAAGTGTATAAAAAATACCCATTTATAAAGAAATGACTTATCGATAAAATTACTAATTATATTAACTTGTCATTAAAATACATGAACGATAAATAACGCGTCTATAAAAATCCTGTGTGTAAGAATCATTCAATATGTCATAGAGAAACGAACTGTCAAACTAATATGATACTCCAAGACACTGCACGTACAATCTTCATCCTTGCCGTTCATCACCCGCTTGTCTAAATGCATTAATCACTCTAACCATTAATAATACTTTTCTCATTTTTTCAACACTTTTAACATATCTTGTCAAAAATAAAGATCGTTCATGACGTGCAGCTAACTCTTTACGCTTTGATGGTATTGGATAAAGTTTAGTTATCAATTCTAAAGACCAATAACGATATACAAGCACTTTAACAAAGTCAAGGAATACGAATATTCCTAAGGAGATCTACTTGGTTTAACAATTAAACGGGGATACAAATAATAAGGTGATTAATATAAAATTTATAAATATAAGATAAGTAACATTTGAATGGCTTAAAAACCCACCGCCAAAATAACAATGGCTTTGACCCATCCAATAGCTTCAGTAAGCACTCCGAAAACCGATATAAGCATTGCGAAAATTTGTGTACCGAGTATTGAAGCAACAAAAAGCGGAGAAGGAAGAACTTCCCAGAAATGACCTGATAGTCGTGTAGAGAATATTACAAAGTGTGGAGCTGACGATATATGTAAATACATTACGGTGTAAAGTTGTCCTTTTATCAACGTTGGGTGGTCATAGGAGAAGGGAATCAAAATTGAAAAAGGTAAATTAAGATTATACGAAGAAAGAAATGAGGATATGGTATCCTTGGTAAATTACCTTGAGTAACTTTAATTACTTCTGAGAAAATGAAATAATGTGCAAAACTAAACCCCATTAAAAGTGTTCCCAAAATTATGCTAAGCGTGATTAGTTGTCCGATACGCCATTTATCTGGACTTCCAGATATCTTAGGATAATTGAAAAAAAAATAATACATTCGGAATATAAATAAAAAAAAAAATTTATCACTTTTGTACTTTCACAACACTCATTCATACCTGAGCATTATCAACCGCAATAACCAATGTTGCAGCATCATTCAACATTGCAATCATAATCAACAATACGGCAGGTAGATTCCAATCCTTAGCCAAGATTATGCAAAAGAAAAATAATAAAAAGTGTACCGTAGAGGTTATACGATATAAAGAATAGGATCTCATACGTTGAAATATAGCTCGAGAAGTCATTATTCCGTCAATTATTGTTGCAAGACCAGGCGCTAACAGTACAATATCGGAAGCAGATCTAGCTGCATCTGTACATCCTGCTACCGCTATTCCAACATCCGCGCGTTTTAGAGCTGGTGCATCATTTACACCATCTCCCTATTTAAAGAAAAAGAAAATGTTGAGACAATAAAAGAAACCATAAATTCATTCATAAATTAAGTATCAATACCGTCATCCCAACAACATATCCTTTCTTTTGTAATAATTCAACGACTCTATATTTATGTTCAGGAGTTACTTGAGCAAAACCATCAGCTTTTACACAGTGCTCCATAACCTCCTCATCAGATTTAGTGGAATCGACCAGATGGTTTGTATCTAGTATAACTCTACCCATTCCAAGTCGGTTTGCAACTTCTTTAGCAATAATTAATTGATCACCTGTTACCATTTTAATATTAATACCTAATTCTTCGCATTTTTTTAAAATATCTTTCGAATCTGGTCGAGGAGGATCGAGTAAACTTAAAAATCCCACCAATTCCCACTTTAGTTGTTGGGAATTTTCGTTATCAGAAGGATTAATTGGGTTGGTTCTTGCAACACCAAGAGCGCGTAATCCACGTGACGCCAAATCGATTACAGCACGATCGGCTTCCTGACTTCCACCTGCAAGTTTGGTTATAACTTGTGGAGCACCTTTGACTATTTTAAATTTTTCTTGCGTTTCAAGGTTTATCGCAGTGGCTTCAGAGAATTTTTTTGAGGGATTAAAAGGAGTAAATGATGTGACTTTGAAGCCAGGAATTTCACGTTCATTTTCGTTATTTTTTAAAACATCAACTTTTTTTAATGCAGCATCTCTAACGGCTAATTCTATCGCATCATCTGTGCCTTCTTCAGAACATATGTAGGCATATAAGAAAAGATCATTTTCATTATAAGAAGGTGTCAACCATGATTCATCGGTGGATAGTTCGTTGAGAGTGAGTGTACCAGTTTTGTCAGAACAAAGAACCGATACAGAAGCCAATTCTTCTACGGCTGCTAAGCGCCTGATAATTACTTGTTTTTTAGCTAGTTGCTTTGCTCCTACAGCCATAGTTACAGAAAGGACAGTTGGTAAACCAACCTTTACAAGAGCAAGAGATAACATAATCACAATTAATTCATTGTTATTTTTATTAATATAAAAAAAAAAAAAGTTATAGATTCGGTATTAGGAAAATATGTACCGGAATAGCTGCAACCGTCAACACCAGAACATGTTGCAAAATTTCTAGTACATTACCATTAGATGTACCTCGAAATTTGACCGCTTGATATATAAAAATGATGATTACAAGAGTGACTGTAATCAAAATCAGGAAGTTACCAATTTTATTAACGACTTTTTGAAAATGACCTTGATCCACGGCCGCGTTCATAAGAGTAGCGGCACGTCCAATATATGTATCTTTCCCGGCTTTTTACAAATTAAAAATAATTATTAAAAAAAAAATAATAAATTCATTAAAATTCTAGATTAAAATTAAATGGTTATTTACTTTTGGCAACAATAGCCAACATTTGCCCTTGTTTAATTATAGAACTGTTATAATAATCGACAAAAATCGGTTATATGGGAGAAAACATGAGGAAATTTGAATGTTAACATTTATCGTTATACTGTATTATAATTATTAATTACCTTGAATATACAAGATCTCCTTTATTGCGATGTGCCGGCAAACTTTCACCTGGGTTTAAAATTTAAACTAATCAAGAATTTCGCAGCATTCAAAGAAAATGAATAATAATAATATAATATGCATACCAGTTAATGCCGATTGATCTACCATCAAGTATTCTGAGGTCTCCGAACCACTAATATTAACCCCTAATAATTTTGCATCAGCTGGTACAATATTTCCAATCCGCAAAGTAATGATGTCACCAGGAACCAATTCCGCAGCATCCAATTCGATCAGTTTTCCATCACGCATAGCTTTCGTTTTTAACGCCAAGGATTGCTTTAACGCTTCTAACGCAGATTCCGCACGTGTTTCTTCTATGAAACCTATTAATGCGTTAACAATCAAAAGCGCGAGGATTATGCCGAAATCTACCCAATCTTTAACTATGCCTGCCACTATACAAGCTACTTCAATCAAGTAGGCGATCGGGCCTCGAAAGTACGAAAGGAATTTTAAGAATAAGTTACTATAGACATTAGAGAATCGATAAATATATGAATTGAAGTTATAATCGAGACAAAATATGAAATTTATAAACTTACGGCTTTGTTTCTGTAATTTCATTTCTTCCAAATTGGTCCAAGCGTGTTTGAGCCTCTTCTGTTGTCAAACCGGTTTTTGGATCTGTTTGTAAATATTGTTCGATCTTTTATAATTAACCATGAAAATAATAAGTATTGTAGCTGATAGTATACAGTACATGCGACAGATAAAAAAAAAAACATTACTAACGGATGAAAGATCTTCGTCTTTTTCATTGATTTTCTCTGGTAATTCATCCTCTTTGTTATCCTCTTTTTTATCTTGATCAGAATTTGATTTCTCCTGAATTACGTCACCACTTTCATTTCTATTCGACATATTTGCAGATGTCTTACTAACGGACGAATCATTATCTTCTTTGTTATCTTGGTTAAAATTTGATTTCTCCTGATTTATGTCACCACTTTCATTTTTATTCGAAACATTTGCAGGCGTTTTACTAACGGACGAATCATCATCGTCTTTTTTATTGATTTGTTCCTTCTCCACTAATTCACCTTCTTTGTTATCCTTGGTATCTTGATTAAAATTTGAATTTTCCTGAATTACGTCACCACTTTCACTTTTATTCGACATATTTACAGATGTCTTACTAACTTCTTCAGTATTATCCTTATCTTTTTTTAACAGAAGAGAAGAGATAAAGTAAAGTAAAAAGGCACAACCGACGTTATTATTTTAATTCTGGTAATTAAATACAACTTTATTACAAGACGAAATCCTGTAAATGTATGAACGTCGTATGAATGATGAAATGTAAAAAACGATTGCGTCATAATTAATAATTTTATATGATCAAAATCCAATAATGGTTGGCGTATTTTTGTAATATCAAACTATTCTACGCGTCGCCTAAACGAAAAGCTCTATTTATAAAAACCTAAACACAAAATAGTAATTTTAATATCGATCAATTGCATTATTATAACGTCACTCTGAGTTGATCCATTCTCCGATGACAAATAATCGGAGCATTAGGTAGGTGCGTATGTACGTAAGTAGATATTTATTGAATTAATCAAAACTGGTAAAGAATAATAATTCGATGCAAAAATGGTACTACTCGGCGTAGGTCATGTATTACTGTATGCTCTGTAAAATATACATAAGTTATACAGTTGCCTTTTTAAACCGAACTCTGCCTGCGTAAACAAAAATTTTTTTTAGTAAGTTCGGTTTGACACTATAATTACATCATGTAATGTAAAAAATAATAAAGTCGGCATATTTAGACATTTTTGTCGCTTTAATTGTTTATTTTGTAATCTTATTATAATAATAATAATAATTATTATTATTATTATTATATTAAACAATGCCAAGAATCGTGTCACAAAATTTTATTATTTATTGAAAGCCTAACTTCATCATAAAGGAATAATTAAAAAATCAATCGTTTCACAAATGCTATAAAAGTTTTGGAGATACATTAAACACCAAAATCTTATAATTGAATGGATCCAACAAGCAATTTCTTCTAACTTACTTCCTATTGTTCTTGGGGATTTTAATGCTTTAGTAAAGGTAGCAAAAGTCAACCTTTAATTTTGGCCAATCAGGGTTCTTGCTGATCAGCCAATCAAAACAATGCCTCTTTCGGGATTGTATCACCGGCTCAAATCAAATCCATCCTGCAAACGCGATGAAACGCGATGGATATACCCTCATGCATAGTGATACAAACGGCTCGAGCCGAGCTGCGAGCCAAACAGCTAAGCCGAGTCGATGATCTGCTCGGCTCCAGGTCAACTAATAATAGAGTTGTTAAAACTTGTAAGTTACATGTAAGTTACAGTAACTTACATGTAACTTACATGTAAATTACTGTAATTTACGTAAGTAATAGTAAGTTACAGTAAAACTTACATGTAAGTAAACAACCCTATCTACTAATAAAGCATCGGCTCCAAAAACGGAACTTTGGAGCTAAACATAGAGTCTTCAATATTATATTTCCTGAAATTTTCATAATTTTAGACATACGGAGAATAGTAGGTCTCAAAGGATTTTTTATGCGATCAAAATGCCTCCACCAAGTCGCTTAAAAATTCATAAACGCGAAGAGGGTAAGTATGATAGGCTTAGATTAGTGGATCCTGGAGGAAAAGTCGATTATATATTTTTTTATTTCTTCATCTTGTCATTTTTAAAATCAATTCTTCACAGAAATCAAGCAGCTACCATGTAAATAAGACATGCTATAGTTTTGAATCACAAGAGTGAACGACACATTTACCTCTCACATTCCACATACCACTAAAAAGAGTACGGTCTAAAAATGCCAGTGTTGACATGTACTCGTTTTGAAAAAAGGTTTTTTTTATCAGCAATTGTCATAGTGATATACGGTCATAGCTAGAGAACTTGGCATAATAGCCGTAGGCATGTTACTGCGGCATACCCATGGTTCTCTGAGAACACTACTATAAATTTGTGCACAGTATATAAAGTTTTTACTGTTCACTATTAAAAATTTTTTAAAACCAGTAAATAATAATAGTGTTCTCATAAGTATATAATAATGTTGTCATGCCAAGCCAGAAACTGATGAATTAATGTTGTCATGCCAAGCCAGAAATTGATCATATTTGTATTAATCTAAGGTAAATTAAGAAATGTTTATCTTATATTATTAATTTATAATATATCCTTCATATTCTTGGTTATTATTATTATTTATATAGTTTTCAACAATTTTTCAAAAAATAACATCAATTTGCATTATTTTTTACAACTATAATATGTATTTCTAATATACTATATATACTGTTGGTTATTGTTTTTTTTTTTTTTTATGAAATAAAATAATAGCTTGAGAACACCTACAACTATAGCACTTTTCTCATGAGAACTATATATTTGGATCTGAAATTTTGATTAAAAATACCAGATATCGTATTTTCGCCCACCTACGCAATATTTTGAGTATATGCGCGTTATTTAGAGTACGCGCATGAGCGTTCTTTTGAGACAAAGATAGAATTTTCCCAATCCTGTCTGTTATATTAAATTATTTGTTGAAACCCTAATGTGAGGTGCGCGTTATTTTGAAACCATGCATACTATTTTTAGAGGACACGATTTTCTAAATAACGCCTATGCCCGTTATTTCGTGAAGATACAGTACGTACTTTTTGAGGGCAATAGATAAGGCACAGTTGTTGACTCTAATGCCTAACATGGCCCAAATGGGCACTTGCAGATCCATAAAGGCACCAAAATTCTCACCAGTCATGGTTACTTTTGAGTTGACTAAATAAATTTTACTTAGTGAGAGGGCTTATATACCGTACAGCACTGACTAAAGTATCTCCCATGTATAATACCCCTCCCCAGCTATTGAAAGGTTCCCTCTAAAAATATCTGGATATAACCGTTTATACTATGTACCCAGTACATACATGAATACATATTTTATTAGACTAAGGTACCCCAAGCTGTACCCTTCGAGGTAAAATACCCATCAAAAATGGTCTATTTGTAAAATACCCCGGGCACTTAAGTCAGTGCTGTACGGTATATAAGCCCTCTCACTAAGTAAAATTTATTTAGTCAACTCAAAAGTAACCAT